AAAAATGAAAAACACACCGGTCATTTGGATATTTCTTGTAAATGTCAGCAGATATTTCACCAAAATTTTTCTTTTGAATCACAGAATCCCACATACTTCCTACGAGAGGCCATGCTGACACATGGGTGATGTTTCTTTCTTCCCAAAAACTTGCCGGTTTTATTAACTTGTAATAAATGAGAGCACCCAAAATCACACTCAGGATTATTATCAACATTTTGTTAGAGACTGATGCTCTGCAGGCGCGAGTTGCTTACTTATAATGTGTTATCACTATTATTACGAATTACAAGTTGTTGAATCAAAATAGAAAGATTATAAAATTAAGAGTGTAAAACATTGCAAGTATTTCTGTTTATCTTTCTGCCAGAGGAAGAAAAACATCAAAAATAGATAATAGAATTTGTGATGATTAGATGTTTTATCGATCAACTTTTTATAATAAATGAATATGCAATTCTAGCTGCCACGTAATAAAAAAAACACTCAGGATTATAGTCTACATTTTGCTATAGACTGATCTTCCATAGACGCAAGTTGTTTATTTATAGTTTGTTATCAAGAGTTAGCGAATGAAAACAAAAAGATAAGGAAATCAGAAGTGTAAAACATTACAAATACTTATCTGTAATCATTTCTCTGCAAGCGGAAAAAACACTTGTCATTATAACAAAAAGATTTTCTTAACGATCTATTTCTTTGAAATAAATTTAAAAACAATAGGAAATATAAATAAATAAATAAATATAATATGCGTTCAGACTCTTTTTCAAATTGCAAGTCATCAATGCTTATTTATTTATTTTATAGCTATCCAATAAATGAAACTGGAATTTAAGTAGCCACGTCATAAAAAATTTGATTGGAGTTTTAATTAAATCTATGCGTCGTCAAAAACATTTTACATACCATAAAAATTTTTGTTAACAATTTAAGAAAAAAATTAGAAATCAAAACTTTAGTAACATGAGTTTATAAAAATAATAAAAAATAAGAAAAATGTTGGAATAAACTAGGGAATAAATGATATATTACATAATTTTGTAGTTAATAAGTTTTTAAACACTGCTGTGAATTAATTTTTCTGAATCATTGAGAGTTTTTAGTTTATCTCAATGACATTGAGTATTGTTATTGTTTATAAAAATCATCGCAAATAATTAATTTAATTGTCAAAACATTTGTGCATTAGATCTTGTCATTCTAAGTAGTATAAAATATCATTGATTTAGTTTTATTAGTTTGTAGTAATTAAAAGCATAAAAAATATTACATAATAAAAAATAGATACCTACATATTTTAGGTTACAAAATGTTATCTTTAGTACTTAATGTAGAGTAGTCATTCGTTATAAATGAATCATCACAAACGTTTAATTACGATAAATAATAGTAATTTTTTTTAAATATATTTTTTTAACCGTCTAATAATGTTTTTCTTTGTAAGTAACTCTAATAAAAATGTAATAAAACTCAAAATATACCCAGTGAAAAGAATATAAATCGCTGCTGAAACATCTTCAAATGACAAGTTATCAGGATGAACAATTTCTTTACTTTCTAGCTCCTTTTTGAGCGTTTGGTAATATTGTTTTCTAAACCAATTCGGAATTCCTGCAGCTAGTAATCGTCCAGTAGCTATTTTAAATCGTTGGTGTAACGGATATCCTCTGGTCAAAAAAACATATACAAACTCGTATTTAATTTCTCTTAGAATTAAATGCACTTGAGGCTCTTTTTCCCCTTTCAGAAACATTTTATTTTTGAGACTTTTAAAAGACATACGTGTATCAACAGTGGCAAGATTTTCCCCGGACGCAATTTTGGTAAAATATTCTGCAATATCAGTATTCGGAACAATAGTAGAACACACATTGTTGACATAATCGCCAAAAGATTCATCTTTAGATTGATACAAGTCTTTAATTTCGCCATAAACAGTACAAGGAATTTGCTTTCTGACAATATCTTTCAAAGTCTCGGTTTGGTCTTGGTACAAATAGCTGGTGAAAATTCGAACCATTTCACGTCGGAAAGCCGTCGAAATGACATAAAACGAAAAGATTGCAACACATGCCAAGACTCGATTTGACAATCTACTAATTTTCAGTATTCTGGAATTGCTAGATTCTAGCAAAATCTGGAAGTGTAGTTCGAAGGATTGCAACAAGTCGTCTTTTCCAAAATAATGCCAAACAACACTCAACACAACCAAAGAAAAAAAAATCAACACCCAAATAATTGAATTAAAAGCATAGAAGATTATTTCCCAGTCGGGTACAAGTTGGGCTTTTGGTACCACCCAATGTTGGGTCACAATGCCCCAAAAACTCGTCAAATCAAATTCTAAGACTTGTCTACTTGTTAACAACATGAAGTTATTGAGCATTAAATGTTTTTGTCTCGTCTGTAAGAAACCTGTAGATAAGACTTGACAAAATTTGTAAAGTGATAAAAAAGAGTACTAACCCAACACATTGGTGTAAGTTTTGTTAATTCGTGAAGTACCAAAAGCCCCAATTTTGTGACGAGTCACATTTATCTGAAATTGCAGCAATTCCTGAATTAGTTGGAAGTTTCTGAAAGCAATTCCTTGAAGATGATCGTCGTGGTCACTGTAGAGAAATGGGTACATGTTGAAATAGACAGCTGGAATTGTGGTGTTCCTCCAAAATTTTGGTAGTGAGGTACTAAATAGTGCTGTTGGGTTCAATCTGAGACAGGGGCCGAGAACCACGGGTTTTACCTCTTCAGGAAGCACGTTTTCATAAACGTAAGGTTTGTAGGTAATTGCGGTACCTTCAGGTGTTAGAATTATTACGTTATGAACAAAATAGTTCAATAATTTTTGAAAAATTTCAGCCGGTTTGAAGATTCCACTTAAAATTATGTATTTAGCCCGCGAGTTAAAATGATCAAATTGATCTAAAAAAAACAACATTTGGTCAATATTCAATACTCCCAATTTAATGACGTATATATCGGGCAGCCGGAATTTGAATAAAGTAAAATATTGCACACTACTGCTCTGGTAAATCACAGGATAAGTAAGTCTGAGGTTGGTGTCAATTACATAAATCACTGTTTCAGATTCTGCAAATTTTGCAACGATTCGACTAACACATTTCGCTGTTTTATCAAATTCTGAATCGCCAATTTCGCCGTTAAAAAGCGTTAAAAAAATACAGACAGAAAGTAGTTGCATTTTTGAACTGGCTTAATTTTACTTTATTTCAGGTCTGCATGAAGTAAACACGAGTCGTAATAAGAGGTGTTTAACCAGAATTAACTGCAATAAATAAATAATAAAATCAGATATTGATTTGACACAAATTATTGTCAACATGGAAAACTTGAGCTTAATTTTGGTAATCTTTAAAAATATTATGATGTATTAACAAAAAAGAATTAAAAAGCCGATTAAACTCATAACATATTTATTTCACATATACTAGAAAAATGAAAAATTATGAATATTTTAT